TAATGTTCTTACCATCCCACACAAGTCTGATACCAGTTTACCATAGAACAGGTGACTTAGTTGGAAAAGGCACAAGCCGATCCCTTATATGGCTCCCGCACCAGACTCGTGGTGAGCGAGCGATTTGCCACTTCACCGCTTCTGCCAATTTTTTGAGGGAGGCCCTGGAATAAACTGTGAGGGGCTTTGAGGCGTACGCATGCTTTGAGACGGGAGAATAGGGGAATCGGAGGTGTGGAGAGAAGGAGGATGTGCGGCATGCAGACTGGCTGCACGTCAGTGGACTGGGATCGACTACTGTCCTCCGATTCTCCATTTCCTCAATTCTCCGTTTCTCCTTCTCTCCTGTTCTGATGTTTTCCAGTTCTCTTATTCTCATGTTCTCCCAATAGCCTGGCAGTCAGTGCTTACCGATATCCATCCGCTCTTTTGAAGTGCATTCTCCCAAAACGTCGATTCCGCGTCCGCGGTTTTCCTATTCTCCCAAAATGTCAGATTGTTACCTACGAACTCCAAGTCGCCTATTGTCCAAGTCTGCTACTTTCCGATTTTCCCATCCTTCCGTCGCAATGTATGAACACGGTCTAATTGATTTAACGTAATGTGCTGTTTCAAGTCAACTAGCTAGGCTTGCGCGAAATATTGCACCTTAGACGTATCTAGAACTGTACCTTGTGCATTCTGTGCATTCAAGCTATGGATAAGGCTTCTAAGAAAGTGATGAGAGATCAATGCATCAGCTATGTACGTTTAAGGAAGCCAATATATTCCTCCTAATTAAGCATGTGAAATTTAGTGGTTTTGCTCTCAAATATAGGTACGGTCCTGCTTGAAGGCAACATCATCAATTGGGCGGTCGATGACTCCGCAGTATATTTGCTCATTCGTGTCGCGCCGTTGTCGGAATTGTTTGCGCTGATGGAATTCATTTCACTTGTCACATTATAATCGCTTACCTTCCGCACCAACTGTATTTCCAAGCAACTTTAAAAAGTTCTGCTGAACTCATCTCTGGGATTGTTTTGTGGTGCTTTCCTGCACTGCATGTTGCACAATTTTTAGAAAGAAAATTGCCCATATTTAAAGGAACTTTGATGTCTAGGCATATCGGGGGTTTCACTGTTAGGCTTCGTTCAGCCCTTGCGAAATTGGGGAAATTCAGGAAATATTGATACGTATCGTTTATCATACACAGCTACAGTTCTCCAGCTTTACCATTCTACGGTTGGGCGGGGTGAATCGACCCGTATTCAAGGGCAAATTGTGGACAGTGGCGTACAATAACAATTCTACAGTCGCTAAGCGACTCTCCAAAGAAGAAACAGCACAAAATCATGGAGAACACCATGAAGATCCCGAGTTTTCCGGACTTGCTCGTTTTATGGCAGCGAAGCGCCATTCTGCCGCCTAGTACTCACTAAGTTTTTCTTCGCGCTATTCACGGCTGACGTTAGTAAATGAGAAAAAGGAACGGAAAACGTTTAAAAACCGAACACATCACAAAAAATAGCCTCCAAGTCTTAGCGGGCGGGACCATTAGGGAGGCATCAGAACTGCCACCTACATGGCCGCAGCGTCTTCGTTAGTAATTCTGAGGCCGCGAAAGTGGAGTAGTCTTAGAGAATGAGGGTCAGACTCTTTGTACAAGGAATGACGCCTACGGATTGCTTTAGCGCAGGGACTGTCTTAATGTTTTTTTGCGGATTCTCCCATTATTATTCAAGTTGCTTCGGGCAGTTCCTCAGCTCAAATGCGTCTACTTTGCCTAAGATTCGGGATACTCGCGCCGATCGCTTGGTGTGATCGCAACTTTACGAGAAAATTCACTTCTAGTCGCCTATCTGTCGGACTCATGAGCGGTGCCAGGTTCCCTGTAAGCTGCTCTAAAATGCGTTCATACTTTGCGGAAGCGTTTTGAGCGTTTCGAGCGACTGGGGAAGTATAGGTATTGATCCAGCGTTTTGAGCAACCGCTAGCGTTCCCAGTTCCAATCGATACCTATAATTTCTCAGTCGCTCAAAACGCTTAGAACGCTGCACCGATACCCAGAGTTTCTTAGTCGCCCAAAACGCTACGCTGACAGGCGCTCAAACGCTGCTGGAAAGTATGAACGCAATCCTATGTGAACGCAATCCTATGTTGTCGGAAGTGCTGTTTCTCGCCTGTATCTCTTTTGCGGTATTTGTTCTGTGGTCTTTTAATGTGCGCTTCCTCTGGTTCTACTCGTTTACCCCTTTTCCACTACACCCTGTTATTTTTTTCCTTTTCAGGCCTTTTTCCAAAACGACGACTGTTTTCAATACTAATCCAGTTCACTATGATATTTGCGTGAAGAATGACATCGATACATGGCTTATGGACGTGGTGGTTAACGTTGATTCTGTTGCTGTTGCGGTTTACTTACGGCGATGAGAATGTGGAACCGCAGAATGTAACCTCTGTCACTGAAGAAATACCAACGACAACAACACCTTCCGGACCGGCATCCGCCGATAGACTCGGTTAGTTCTTTCACAGTAATTTATTTTCGTTTATCCTTTTCACTCGGGGTAGTTTCTCTTTACGTTCAGTGCGAGACAGAAATATGCTTCGCTCCTTTTTATGGTAGTTTTATGTCCTTCTTATTACCTCATATATTTTTATGGCAAATTCCACGCCGACTAGCTGTTTAATTATTTCACATGAGTGATCTTCGTTCGCTAGTCAGGCCGATTGAGATTATAGAAACTTGCTCCAGGGCACATCGTTGTTGGGAATCCCCAATAGGGGGTCGTATTTGGTCGCCAGGAGGGGGTCGTATTTGGGCTGAGAAAAATTTATTTTGATAGTTGATTTTTCTCGCTTCATGGACGTTGTAAAGGAGGGGGTCGTATTTACGTTTTGGCGTTGTAGGAGTGGCGGTTGACTTTGGTGATTTTCCTGTTTCATGCGTACTATGCAATAAACGACGTCTCGATTCGCATGAGGAAGGACAGAGGGCTGCAGGGGGGGGTCGTACCAAACTGCCGTGATAAAAGAAAAAGGGGGGCGGTGGTAGTAGAGCGACTAAAATCCCAACCAGATGATTGTCCTGATTTGCTTATCGTGCGACGGAGATGATGGAGCGAGGGATGATATTTACTTGCGAGGGGAACGAGGAGAAGCGGAGTCTTCCAGATGTGAAAGCTGCATTTGGAAATGGGTGATGGGTCTCGAAGTATCTTAGGACGAGATAAATTGCAGCATTGTCGTACTGCTATTTCCTTGCTACTTATTTTTTTGTATACATATAACCTGGAGATCGATTGTGCGCCGGCCCCGATCCTGTGAAGCCACAAAACTTGTCAAAAACACTCGATTCCCTTGGGCTCAAAAAAAAAAAGAAAGAAAAGCCTTTTGCTTTCTCGGACATTTGCTGAAAACACTGGCGTTCGTTCAAAAACGCTAGATCGATATCTGTTCTATCCTAGTGATCTTGAACGCTTCCATACGCTAGGTACGCCAGATCGATATCTTCACTTTCTTAGCCGCTAAAAACGCAATTCTACGAAGAGGTCCTTCCTCCGTTCGTGAGTGCTATCGCACATTTAAAAATGTGCGACGCACATATATGGAGGTAGCTAAGAGCTTTCATTTCGCCGAGTTTGTCGTAGAACTTCGGGCAGTTTTTTTTCGTGCCTCTTTTGAACAGTCTTAAAAGCGCCGCAGCCGAAAAATTAACTGCCTTTTGGATCCCCGGCATGACTCCTTCTTACAAAAAGATGCGCAATCCCTTCGGCTGTACTTGACCGGCAGCACCTCCCTTGTTATGCGCTTATAGAGGAACTTTTTCAATTTTCCTAAACAAGTTTAGTGGCTTAGAGAGTGTCGTCTTCTGTTTATAGCAGGGGAGAACGTCAAACTGCCCGCAATTTCCCTTCCGATCAGTGTACTTGACAGTTCATTGAATTTCTAGTGAAGTCTCTGTTCTAGGATCTATGAGCAAGTTTTAGGAGTACCTCGATGTGAGTCCAACTACGATTGTGTTCACAATGGATTATGTCGAAAAGATGCCGATGGTTACGGTAGATGTCTGTGCCCAAGGAGCTGCCCACCTTGTGAGTACGAAATTAGTTTATGCCTCGTAGGCTTCTCAATTTTTTTTCAAAGTTCTTAGTAGTGAAGAGCTTGAAGTCGCCTGTAGTCCACAATGCTGTCATAAGTTTTGTGAATAAATCCTTTTCCCAGATTGGAGGCTTTTTATAGATATACCCATGGACTGCATGAAGCAAGGATCTTCTTCGTACTATCGTCTACGTCAACGGTATCGTTACGAACTGCCATGTGGTGTAATGGACTCTAGTTACAAAAAGAAGTACGATCTGCCAAGCCCACAATGCCACCAGGTTTGTTTTTCTTGTCTGAAGTCGTTATTTTTTAGTTCATAAAGGATTTATAGTAGGTGGTTTGGATTTCGCTGTCTCATCGGACGTGTACGATACCAATTTTCATTGCTTTATTTTTTGCCCGAGGCAGTAGAAACGACATTTCAACGATCACGTCATCCTTTGCTGCTCATATTAAGTTTTGTATCTTCTGTTAGATACAGACCAATAGCGCTTGTGTAACCCAGTAGAGAGCCAGTACTGCTTGAAGGATTTTCTGGAAAGGACCTATTCCCGCTCTCCTCGAAATGTTGCGGTTTCCGGCGACTTGTTGCAGGAACGACATATCTGATACAAATTCGATCAGAATCATTAGTGTTCCATGAAATATTGTTGTGCGTCGAGAGCGCATCGTTTCCGGCGCGTAGATGGGAGATCCTCACATATCGGTTCGCGCTATCCATCGATGTTTGGACGTTTCTCTCGTTATCTTCCCCATCCAATGCTATCTTGCATGTATAACTGCATTGGTGAGAAGGAGACTGTCGCTCAGATCTCAAATGATCGGCTACCCTGTCAAAACAATGTGATTAAATGAGACTTAATCATCCTTCAAAGTTGCTGGAGCGCGATTCGGCAGAAAGGAAAGGGGCCTTTAAAGGTTTCCTTGTGCAAAATTGGGATCGCAGTAGTGGACCTGAAGATTTCTGCCTATCTCTCTGGGAAAGGAACTGCCAGCTAGGTGAATCAAGGGACAGTTCGGCTTGGAAGAGGCATTTTGCACTCTGTTAGGTAGCAGTCCTCACACTCTTTACCTGTGAATTCCTGTGAAGTGTAAAATGCGCGAGTGAGCCACATGGGTCAC